GGCAGGGCTGGGCTGACAGAATCACAAGAGCCACCCCTCAGATCCAAGAAGAACCAGGGGTCAGGGAGGCTGCTGACCCGCCAGAGGAGGGGCTCCATGAGGGGCATGCAGGCTCACCAGAGGTGATTGGTTGGTCAGCTCCCCACCTCATGCTGTGGCAAAGAGACATGTTCTCTCCTGGCCCCAAAATCCCAGCTGGAGCCTGGGGTTCAGGATATGGCTGAGGAAAGGAGGGTGGGGAAGAGGAAAGGCTGAAGACAGGGGGTCTTGGGAGGTAGTGGGTGCTCAGCCGGGCAACCCGAATACTCATTCCTTCCATTGAAAGACTGACAGACAGACAGACCCTGATACCTCTTTACATTAGCTTCTGGCCTCAGCCACCTGGCAGGGGCTGTAGGAGGTGGCCACAAACTTGGGGCCTGGGGACGGGGACACCTGGAACCCACACCCACACACAAGCATGTATTTACAGGGACACATCGATACAGACATGTACAAATACACACCAAGCATGCATCCATGCCCATATATATACACACACACACAAATTTATTACAGATAATTCTTGATTATTCATTGGATTGGGGTCTACTTTGTGCAATGTTAGCCCACTTTTTCCTTTTGCTGTGTGATTATTGGTTTGAGGGTATCAAAATCAAAATCAACAGTCTTAGATTTAGCTTGATAAGGGGATCTCTGAGGCTGACCGATTTTGTGTCATCTGCAAGGATTTGGGCTGAGATTCAACCATAGTTCCATCTTGACCTAAACAGTATGGACCTGCTCGAGAGAAAGGCTGAAGGGAGGAATGTGCTACAGTGATCCTGAAGAGGATTTTTCAGGTTGCAGTCTAGGGATAAGTCAGTACCTGGCCTGGCAGGATCCAGTCTTTACTGAGCTGATTTTAAATGAAACTTAACATGCACTAATGCAGAACTGACATGTTGGTTGCCTCTCTTTGTCCTGGAGGGACCAGTCGCTGGAGAAGGATATCATGTTTGGTAAAGTGGAGGGTCAGACAAAAAGAGGAAGACCACCAACGTGATGGATTGGCAAAGTTGCAGCATCAATGGGCTCGAACTTGGCAACAGTTGTGAGGTTGGCCCAGGACCAGGCAGTTGTGCATCGGGTCACTATGAGTTGGTAATGACTCGATGGTACCTAACAACAACAACTCTTTGTCCTGGGTTCCCATCAAAAGTTAATTATTTTATTCACGTCTAATCTTGGTCGCTATGGGTCGGAACCGACTCTACGGCACTTAACAACAACAACAACAATCTTGACTTAACTAGATTTCTACACTGAAAAAAATACTGAATGTTAAAAACATTTTTTTCAGTATAGACCCTACAGAGATAAAGTCATTTCTAAGGCAAGTGCTAAATGGTTTCCAGGCATACATTACCAAGGATGTTCAGCATAGATTCTAAGTTGATCATTAAGGCAGGATCTGGGGGGTTTAGGTAATAATTTTCTTAGCAGGGAAACATATTAGCCTATACTTGGGGCTAACTGATTTTTATCCAGGTATACATTAATTATTGTTATGTTATACAAAGACAACATTTTCTTGATTACATTGTATAATACATTTTCATGTCACATAGCAAAATACAATTCCAGATGTATTAAAGTTTCACTCAGATAATAACCATAAAAATACTAGAAGAAAATGGAGATAACTTCTTAATTTAACTCTTTCTAGGCTCAAAAGAAACAGGGAAAGGTAGAGCCAAACTTTAAAATAAAAGAAAGATAGAATTTCTTTAAAGGTTAATTTTTAAATTAATTATAAAAATCTTTCAGATTTTCCACCATTTCTAATCTAACTGGTAGCAAAATTAAAGAAATCTGAGGCTTAGAGAAGGCTCTGAGATACAAAATAGAGACAAAATGAATAGTTTAGAATACTGCTGAGATTATCATCCTTCTTAATTTTGCACCACACTTAGAAAGAAGTGGCTGGACTCATACAGTTGTTTTTAAGAATCTCTCTGGTAGCACTAAGTCAGTTGGATGATTTCCACATACTAAAGTGTCTTGAAAAAAGGGCCCTTTTATATCATATTTAAAATAGATTGAGCTTAAAGATATACAGGTTTTTAGAGGAAAAGAAAAAAAATTACACAAAGTCATTCACTTATTCATTGCATCATTTACTCATGTATTAAACTTCCAAGTGTACTACTGCAACATTACTATTAGTGACCGTTAGAGAGTACATATAATTTCATATCTTTTAATTTAAAAAGTGGCTAAATCAATCAAATTTATATGATTCAATCTAATTGAACCTTTAACTTCCTGAAATGAAGATGATATAGAAAAGGACCATCTCTACCATAGCCAGCATACAGAATTATCAGAAAATTCGGATCTCTGAAAAGTTGACTCTTGAAACTTTAAATTGCTTTAAGATGTGGATGCTTAGAACATCTCAAAATCAATATAACTTTATGAAGATATATTTTAGGGACTTTAAATCACAAAAAGTACTTAAAATGTATAATAAACCATTTTAGTTACAAATGGGGCTATTGCAAAGGAAACAAACTACTTATCATGATTTGTACTAATTCAGACTTTGCCATTAGAGTGAAATTGGATGCGTATACTTTCAAGAAGAATATTTAATAAGTCAATAACTCAGTTCTTTCTTTTTTTTTTCCATATATATGGGTTAGAAAAAATAGAGAAATAGTCAAGATTTAGAAATCCACCTTACCTATCTGATTTCTGCCTGAAGAATAGAATGCATTGACTACAGCTGCTCCACTTATCCACCTATAGAAAACATAAGAGTGCATTACAAATGATACTGCATTATCTGTTTCAAGCCACTCAGCACAGTACAAACATTTTTACAATTTTTGTCGAATCGTGCCTTTCTGTGTTTGAAATATCACTAGGTGAGATAATTTATTTAAAAGTATTCTATTTCCTTAAGTGGAATCCTGACCCTCATCCAGAACCTTCTGAGGTGACACATTCCCACTAGAAAGGACAAGCAGACCAGCCTGGAACAGCTAGAGTGACAGAAGATACATCTTCAAAGAAAGATTATCAGGAAAACCCCAAAACAAAATGACAATATAATTGGCTACCACAAGAATAAGCAAGTTGTTTGCCGGTAGGCCATCAAGTTCCCTCAGGACAAAATCCCCTCTTAGACTGAAACTCAAAGGGAACACATGAGCAGACATGTAAACTTGCTGACATTCACATTGGTCTACTGGTGAGTGGAAGAGGGAGAAAGGCAGCAGCGAAGAAATGGGCTGAGTTCGACCATGTTCCATGAACACCCGTTGACTTGGACATGATACAGAGAAGAGGAAGGGCTGGTTGGTCCAAAGTGTGGTGAGACTTGAGGATACCTGAGCCCATGGACAACGACATAGCTACAGAGGGCTAGAGATGAGAGTGAAGCATCCAGCTGATACAAAGTGAGAGGAGATGCACAAGAACACCCAAACTTGCAGATAGTACCCATTTGACCTAGCCTTGATGGCTTGATAATCAGAACTCGTCTAGAGGAAGATAAAAAAAAAAAAAAAACACAACAAAAAACAATTATTGATAAAGGAAATGAAGGTAAATTGCTGCAATTTAATGAACTTGACCTATATTCATTGAGTTAGTAGCTTTAAATACCAAGAGAGGGAAGGAGTCTTTACATCAAGTATCAATGCTATCCCCTCTGTACACAGGGTAGATAGGGATGGGCAACTTAGACATTGGCTACCTAAAATGAGGGGGTGATAAAAGCACAAAGTGACTGGCTTACAAGGTTTCAAGATGTTTAGTTTAAGAGCATGTGAGGGAAGATAGAGTCCCCACTGAATAGTTTTCATGTTGTCTAGTAAAAAGAGGTGGGGATAAGATTCTTATAATTCAGTAGTAATTGTTATCATGACTAATTGCGATTGTTACAGCTGTAAAGGTAGAAGTTTTATAACAAAAATGGGGGAATAGTTAATTTTAAAGTCCATAAACAGAGGACCCTAGGACCATCAAGGGAGAAGAGCACAAGCGCAATAAAGGACATTATTTAGAGAAGCAGCGACACCAGAGATGGAGGCAGAGATGGAGACATTGAGAGTGGGAGCAGCTGAGGACTCTAGATTCATGGGAAAAGAGGGACTGAGAGCTGGCGGCCAGGAGGCCGACTTGCAGAATGTGTGTGCCCTTTGGTGGTGTAAATTATTATATATGTCTGAGTGTAAAGAAAAAAAAGAGCTAAAATGAATAGAGAGAAATACTGTTAACTGATGGTGCATGGAAGGGATTATAATCATTGTCATGAAACAAGTTGTATAATTTGTTTAGTGTAAAACTGATTATCTGCCCTGTTAACTTTCACTCAACTCACAATAAAAACATTTAAAAATATATATTTTATTTCTTTAAAAAAAAACCCAGCATATATCCAGGTCTGCATTCTATTTCATTTAAAAATAACTTTTTATGAAGCCACCTCATTAAAATGCATCCTTTCAAAATCTGCAATGGGTTAAGATTATATTGAAATGCATTGAGCTTCTTGTTCCTAAATCTAGATACGTATACCTACAATTCTGGAGTAGTTGACAGAAAATTGAAATACAAGTATTAAAACTTCAGAATGAAGCACATTTTCAAATATCTTTAAAATATTTTAATTTGTGTATTATAAAGAATCTTTGTGGAAATAAATTATCCCCTTGTTATGAAGTTTAATTTGGACTAATATGTGTCTGGAGTCCTGATGTGGCATTGTAGGACAAGCACTGGACTGCTAATTACAAGGTTGGTAGTTCAAACTCACCAGTCGTTCCCTGGAAACTCCATATAGGGTAGATATGAGTCAGAACTGATTTGAAGGCACTTAACAATAACAACAATGGGCTTCCAAGTGGCTTTTAAAACTGTTTTTAAAAATGCAATATTCAACTAATTGAGCAAATGTATATTTTTGTATGACAACTGTTAAATGAAGTCCAGATAGTTCTTTTAAGTACATTGATCTATCTACACTATGGTTTGGGCTCTGGACAGAATCTGTTGTTGTTGTTATTTTTTGTCAAGTCAATTCTAGCACAGAGTGACTCTACAGGACAGATTGAACTGCCCCATCTGGTTTTCTTAGTTGTAATCTTTTTGTGGACAGATCACCTGGCCTTATCTTCCACGGAGCTGTTGGGGGTTTGAACCACAGATCTTTCCGTTTAGCAGTGGAGCACTTGGTGCCACAAGGGCTCCTTCTGGACAGAATCTAAAGATGTATGTATGTATGTATGTATGTATGTATATATATATATATATATAATGTATATATATATGTATATCTATTTGTGT